ACCTGACAATGGTGCCACTTCAAGAACATGTGCATTGGTATCTCAAACAAAATTAAGACATTAGTTCACAATAACGATAATTGCTGGAGTCCTTAATGGTAATGTCTGTTTAATACAATACTGACAGCACACTTTGTTACACTGGAGCCACTAAGTGACCCTTTCCCATCTTCAATATTTGTTGTGTACTAGGAGCCATCTAAATAAAAACTTTTACAAACTTTAGTAGAGAAACCAAAATTTGAGATGAGAGAGACAGCTGGATCTGACGTCTAGTAATAAGCCTGTCTGAAGAGCTTTGAAAATTGATCTCTATATTCAGCAGACAATTCGTTGGAACAATGCTGGACTTTGTCCTAGCAGTTGCTCCTGCCAGATTTAAACACAGGCTTATTTAATGAGTGGCACTTCACACTAATTACAGTCCCCAACCCCTGAAGTCCAGCATCCTCCTCCTACTCCATTCACTTCAATACAGCCCCCTATTATCTGTGACTACCTAGAACTGCACTCTCTCATAGTGCAGATGTGGTGTTTATTCTCATACCAAAGGGAAAAATAAGAAACAAAAAAAAAATCCCTTATATCTTTTTTTTTTGTTCTCTGCTCTCTGGTGGGTTATTGGCAATGCCATTGGTTGAAGCAGTGGGATGGATTGAATTTAATCCATCCAAAGTCAACAACCAAAAAACAATTACTCTCAAAGTCTGCTGATTCAAGCTTTCTGACATGTCGAATTAACTTGAGTCCAGGGGGCTCTCAGGCCTTACCTTCTGCCCAGTTTCTGTAGGTTAAATGGACTGAGTTGTGTCTCCCCCTGGATGGGACACTAGTTAATCTAAGTGTCACCCTCAGCAATGCTGATATCCAGTTAGACAGGATTAGAATAATTCAGGTAAAGTACCTTGCTCAAGTTTGTAACCTGGTACATCTCTGTAGTCCACACTGACCACATACAGTATATGAAATTATAAGAAACGTTACAAAGGAGAAGAGACCATATGGTTCCTCTAGTCTGTTTGATATTTTGAAGGTTATTGATCAGATGATCTAATACACACATTATTAATTATTAAACATTATTAACAATAAGAATATTGACTACATTTTCTGGACCTTTGTCATGGTAACCCCTTGACCAATGACAGAGAGCTACTTGTGGGCAGAAACTGTTACAAGAAAGACAGAAACAGTCCATTTGGTACCAATATTTGTAAACTGCAGGGCCTAGGGGACCTGACTGGCCAGGGGCCAGAAAAAAAGAGATATTAATTTGTTCACAGACATAAGGGATCTGGTTTGAGTTTCAAGGATGGATGAATTACCAATGCTTTTAATATTCCATGTTTAGTACCAAGATCATTTTCTACATAATTATTTATTTCAATTGAGTTTTGTTCTTAAAAAGACAGGTCTCACAGCCACTAAAAACAAATCTGAAATTATTTTAAAAAGCTTCTGTTACTTTCATTTGCAGATTTTGAGGGAGTGTAATATTGTTTTTTACCAGCTAGTCTAGTTCCTGACCTTTGTGTTCAGGTACAATCCACCTGAGAGGCAGAAAATAATTGCCATTCCCTGGAAGTGAAAATCTTGCAAGAGTTTCAATTTTTTTAGAATTGAAAAAGCAGCAGCATTTTTCCTCCAGGTTCAGGAGACACACCGAATATTAGTTTTCAGTTGGCCTGGTTGTTATTGCTTTTCAAATTAAAAAAATATCAATGACTGGTTCCTACAACTCTAATTAAAGTACGTTTGAAGCCAAAGCCTGGTCATTCTTGCCTGTTGGTCTGTCTCTGTGATCAAAGTCTGTCCTCTCTAGGGACAAGGAGATGGGAACAGTGACAATAAGTGCACTGGAAGATATCCTGCACTCCAGCAGCTATTTTTTCTGTTTGTGCTTTCCTTCATAATAGTTTCATTTGCAAATAAAACCCAAGTTTGTCTCTGTGGAGATCAGTGGAGAGAAATCAATGGACTGAATGCTGGGGCCCAGAACAATGACTGACTTGCTCTCAGAGCGAAGAGGAGCTGCTGAGCCCAGCAATACTCATTGCTACACACTGTCACCTATATGGGCAGATAGCAGAGGGACAGAGGGAGAGGGACAGAGAGGACAGGAGCAAGTAGACAGAGAAGCAAGGGCACAGAAAGGGGCGGGATAGACAGAAAGGGTGAAATCAAAGAGAGAGAAAGGAAGAGAGAGTGAATGAGAGAGGGGGAGGAAAAGTGAACAACATTGAGCTGTAGACCAAAAGATGCTGAAGCATCACCTATACCGTATAGCAAAGGCACGGCTGTTTTGTGGCACTGAGATATCACACCAGCAACAGGATACCAAACACACAGAGAGCAAATGCAAATTTCTACAATAAGTCTCACATCTCTAGTGTTACACATGCGTTCCTCATCACTCCTCTGCCTGTGCACACTTTGGTCTTTGAAGTATCAAAATTGGCAGATTGCTTTAAGATTACTTTAAAAAAGTGCACTGTCCCATACCCCTTGTTCAAGTAAATTGAGATTCACCAAATGTCGTGTTTATTCCAGGACAATCCTGTCTGTCCTGAGTTTTTTTTATCAACCAATGAGCTTTCCCCTAGCAGAGTCAAAAGGCTATGACTAGGATGCCTGACCTCCTCATCCAGGCAAGTGAAAAGCAAGTGAAAAAAGCAGGTGTCCCATTTTCAGTTCATGAAAAAAAGTGTGTGTGTCAGTGAAATTGCAGAATGTAAGATTTGGATGACTTAGAAAAGGAATGGAAATACAAGCAAGTAGAAAACCCTCCCAAGATTCAGGAAAACAACACATTTCAAGAAAACACACTGCTCAATTAGAGAGAATAGTGAAAGCTTTCATGAATGGGTCTGACAAACATATTCACCGGCTCCATAATCTTAACTAGCAGCTCAAAATTACTGTAAAGAACAGCTGTAATGCACAGTGCACAGCACCTTAATATCTTGCTATTCATGCTTGACATGATAGGAATCTGTGGTAGTATGGGTAAATTTTCACAAAAGAGCAATTAATTCAATTTCATTGTTTGACAGCACTCACAAGTTCAAGGCACAAGACACTGATAACAAAAATCAGTCATCTATATCTACTACTGGCACAGCCCCAGTATAGCAAGAAAATAATTAGAATTATTTCAGGCTGCTGTAACTCCTGTAGCAAGGCAAGTAATGTTGCTGTGAGGACGGCCACAACCTCCCTTCATAGTCTTTATCTCAATCTTATGGATCGTGTCTCTGACAACATTAGTACACTGGATGCTCATTGCTGTATGCGTTAGGCATTAAACTCTAAGACCCATGCCCTCTCATTCAGCCCAACATGACCTCTCTGTGGTTAATGAAGCCCTTGTTTTACCCAGTGTCTGGATATTAAAGGCATAGGGTTTCACAATGAGATCTGTCTAGGGAACTGCTCAATTGCACACAGACATGTCTGGGTGGACTCAATCATGTGAAATAGAAGAAAAGCCACAGAAATACTGCATTGCCCATTCCTGGAAAAAAATCAAAGTGTCCATTTTTTTTTTACTTTTGGTAATGCAAAAATGTACATTTTTAAGTTATGGGTTAGATTTATTGACAGACCCCAATAAGAAAATAATGCACTTAGCTCAGACTCCTCAAATACTTAAACACATATCATCTTCTTTGTTTCTCCGGTGGATCCTATACACTACAGGATATTCCCCAAGCCTTGGGGTTTTGACTGCAGAATGGAGGCATAAGTTCTGGACTCAGCCATGAATTAAGAACAAACAGTGAAACAAAGAAGTAAAAGCAAATGAGATCTAAAGAATGTCAGAGCAGGGGAGCATAAGCAGCTTCTTTCTGGTAGAGTCTTTTAAGATTTCTTTTAGTACAAGATGGCAAAAAAGAATCACTTGTTTGATTCTTTTAATAATTGTCAGGTCCCAACCTTCGTTGAGTATCTTTTATTTCTTTGCAAGGAATTCCTTTTCTATCTGTCTGTAAAGACAGCCATACTGTACATCTTTCAACACCAGCAATGCAACACAATGCAATAGAAGCCTTTGGAATTAAAGCAACGTTCACTAAGAAAAAACATGCTCATATCTTTGAGCCCAGCTGCAGACAGGACAGTCTAGCTCATTCCGTTTTCAGCCTGATGCTTCCCAAGTCAGCCTGCTTTACGTTGACCACGAGGCCTGAAAGGACGTCTTCGGTTTTTCAATTAAAGAGACCAATAAGTGGCTACTGGCTAGAAGTAAGGAATTCAGGCCAGAGGACTCAGCAGGTTGCACACCTGCACCTGGACTAGAGTGCTTGAGTAGGGATCAGGCACAGCCCTGGCATTAACTTAAACTGCAGTGCACCTGTGTTTATGCCTGCAGTGCCAGCTAGCTACCCTGTCTGCCAGCATGTCTGCCAGTTGATTAGCAGCAGGGGAAATACAGTAGTGTTGCAAAGGGCTAGAACTCTACAGGGAGGTAAGTGATTAAGCCGAGTTCTGCCTAGCCCAAGAGGCTTAGGTCCAGACACAGCTTGTATCAAGCAGAGGAGGGCAGCCCCCTCACACACACCCACATTTCAAACTGAAATAATGTCACAGTGTTTCAGGACTGATGAGGCCAAGAGCCAAGACTTCCACAAAGCAATAATGAGGAATTTCAGGGCAAGTCTGAGAGTCGGATGCCAACTTCTGGCGGAATTGTAAAAGGGAGACCGAGGTGCCGGTGTGCAGGTTAGGCACAACTCAGATGGATAGCTTTCATTCTTTCTTAATCCCCGGTCGCGCCAATACAGGCCCTTACTCGAGGGGTAATAGATAAAGGAACAAAACAAAACAGTGAAGAAAAAAGATCATTGTAGCCTCCCGTTACACCGGTAAGTCAAACATCCTTGTGCGCTGCTCAGAGGGAGCATTTCTTTCACACAGCTGCTGTCGCGGGACCTGCAGTGCTAATTAGAGGAGCTGGAAAGCGACAGTCTGATGAGGAATCAGGCAGCATGCTTACTGACCTTAATTGGCACGAGATGCTCGCTGGACTCTTTGCAGCAGGCAGCAGGGAGACGCAGTCGGCTCCGACGCTGGATGGATGCAGAGGATCTGCGGACGGATGACGCTGGGGTGCGTTTGGTGGAGGGTAGGGGGGGGGGTTTCTGGGGCGTCCTGGAACGAGGTGGGCTGCATGGGTTTTGGGCTGCAGGTAGGCTGGGGTGGTCCTCTCCTCCCCGGAGTGACTGTGGTGCCGCTGTCTGGGGGAGAGCCTGCCGTGTTCCTCGCTCGCTCTTTCTCCGAGTGTGTGATGATTCAGGAAAGCTGCAGCTCTGTCGCATTAGGATGTGCTCCTCCCCATACAACAGCCCACGCTCTCTCGCTCGCTCTCTCTCTCACCCTCTGCTTTCATACTCAAAAGCAGCAGCCCCCCCACCCTCCCCTCCCTCCTGCTTTCTCTCTCTCTGCTTTGATACACTAAAGCAGTAACCCCTCTCTCTCCTCCCCAGACCACTAGTAACATCTCTTCTATATCACTTTCTCCTACATTATTCATGTAGATCCTAGTGTTGTAGAACATGAATGCCATTTTCATAGTCATTTATATGCGTTTGTCTCAAACCCAACCCCACTGCAATATCACTAATTAAGTAGAATCATATTGATTGTTACATCCAAATGACAAACCTCATGACTTCTTTCTGCGTGTCTTCCCCCAAGTGCATATGTCTTTGTTTTAGTGCTTCTTTCTTTGTTCTCCTTCCTCCAGCTGTTCTAAAATGCAACTGATTTTCTTTCCTGTCTCTTTCCATGCGCACACATATCCCATGAAGGGAAGAATTGCAATCAAGGGAAACAGAGACAGGTAAGGGTATTGTGTACAGTGTTGATCAGTATTACAAAAAATACATTACAGCTCTGGATTGATTTAAAGAAGAGAAAGGTTGATTTCTGACCTATGACCTATGAAAATGTGCTCAATAGATACAGTACAAGGCGCTGAATCTCTTTAGTCTTGAAGAGGGGAGACTGTAAAGGGGCTGTATTCAAACATTGCAAATCCTGAAAGTCAACACTGTGGACTGCTTCAGGAATAACAATGAAAAAAAGGACCTAAGGACAACCGTAAATTAAGCTAATGTGCATTTATGACTGAAAACAGGAGCTATTTTTTTAAACAATGGATTTTGTTTCCTTGCACATTTTGGTGCACGTCTATAGCTGTATGAACTAGAGCAACCAGAGGGAAAGGACCTTGGCTCAAGGCTTCAGCAGCAGTGCCTCACCTGGGAACCAGACCGAAGGCCCTCCAGGGTGGCGCCAGGTGCCCTAACTGCAGCTCCACGCCGCCAGCAGCATGGCCCTGAAAGTCACGACTCCTTTACCTGATTGCTTGCTCAAAGCACCATAGAAATAGCAGGTGGAATGGATGCTAAACTGCAGAAGCGACAGCCCAGTTTAGACTGCAGCATGCAATCATTGCTCGAGAGGACCATTATCTTTATGGCTCTGCGGACACCCGCCGAGACACAAAATAGCAGAACGAGTAAGAAGTAACATGAGTTATGTTACAGCAGACTTTAGAGGCCTCATTTCCACTGCTGGCCATTAAATTTGTGAACTTTAGTAGGAGCTCATATTAGGTAGATGGTAATGTCAGTTATGCACAAATACAGTCGGGCAGTGCCTTTCAGAAGCACCTCGACTTCTGCTGAAACTGCACATGAGCAGTGTATTCCCACTAAAGTACAGTACCTATCGACTGTAGCTCGTTTGTAATTTTTTCAATAGCAAAATGATCCAAGAATCTTATCTATCCAAACAGTTTTTGACAAGCTCAAAAATGTTTCACTTTAAACCCTTCTGAAATTAAAATAAGGAAACAGACAAAATGCACCTTTTTTAGTCCACTGTTTTTTGTAACTTCAACCTCTCAGTTTTAAAAGCTGCAGCATGGCATAAAGAAATTCCACATTGTAGGTGACTATTATAGTAATATAATAATTATATACTGCATGGTTTTCCACTACTAACAGCAATCAATATGACTTATAAGATACAAATTAAAGCATTGTAACTCCCAAACTCGCATCAGGAAATACTGATGCTAAACAAGGTTTAATAAAAAGTACTGATGCATTTTCTTACTTCTTTCTACTCTTCAGATGCTAATTCTCTTGAGTTTTCTCAGGGAGAGGCAGTGTTGGTGGAGCTGTATTGGGGACAGAGCAGAAGGCTGAGTGAGCTCCGAGGCTGCTGTTAACCTCTGATTTAACCTCTCAGGTAATCTGGTTTCGATTCCTGTTTCATTTTACTTAATGCCTCCCCTCCATCCTCCATCAACATTTGTTTTAATTTCCCATACTTAACTTAATAACAAATAACAAATTGTATCATCTGAGACAGGGACAGCAATTCATCTGCAAGACAAATAGTGATTGTCTGCACTTGTACTGCTGGCATTATGTCTTGTATTCCCAGCTCTGCCTGCTTGTGGTTCTGTAATGAATAGTTTGTCCTGCAACAGATCTGATTCCATCACTCGGCCCTGGACCCAGCACTACTAGTGGGAGTGATTTTTGCTGTCTACCCTGGTTTGTACAATATATGTTTATTGCACTGTGCAAATTACATTTCTTACAATTACCTCTGCTGCCATTTTCCCAGTGTGCAAATATATATAAAATACGACATAGAAACAGGAATCTGTACATCCTTAAGAGCAGCTGGAATTGCTAGCACATAAGGAGAAAATAAGACTGTAAGAAAAGGTCACCTTGTTTGGCTACTAGTAGCTACAGATTGTGGGATCTCATCCAGTGGTGATGTGAAGGAAGCCAGGGCATCATGCTTGTTCCATCTACCTCCAAATATCGACAAGCCTTTATTTAAGTGCCTCCTGTTTTCAGTAGGAAATGCACTTCCTTAGAGAGGCAGTGCTTTACTGTTGGTGCTGAAGGATTCAGTAAAGCAAGGAAGTGATAAGAAGTACCTGGTCCTCTGAGTTCAAGAATAAAACATCTCAGTTCTTTTAAACTGTTCAGAGTTTGAAAACAGAAAAGAGGTTAAGACATAGATGAGCTGCAGTGGTGAGTTCTCACTTAGGTGAAATGTCTATAAGTACACCACTGAGTGTCTTTACCTTTCATTTAACTGTACATACAGTACACCAACAACCATAACAAGCACTTTTGTTGTTTTAATTGCCATTTCTATCTCCGTGTCATGAAAGGATTTAGAGATGAATATTATACATTCTTTTTGAGCACATAGAGTGTAACAGCAAAAGCTGTTAACAATAATTTATTAATGCAAATACTGGTTTGTGCCAACCTAACATTAAGAATTGATCGTATGATTTTACTTTTTTTGAAATGAGAAAACAGTGATTAAAGCCGGAAACATTAAGCCATTCAATTCATACTCATAAAAAAGTCTTTGCTTCACATAGTGTGCTGTGGTTTGAATGACTATCATCTGATGCACAATGGCAGACTGAGAAAAAAATAGCAAAAGACCTCAGTCGGCTGGACAACAGCCATCTGTTGCCAGAGGATCAATAGTTATGGGTTTATTGATGTTAAAGGGCCCCAGAAACCTGAGCTCACTGCCCAAGGCAGCACTGGCACTAAACAGAGACTCCAAAGGGCTTCTAAGGAGAGGTGAGATGCTTGAAAATCTAGACCTGAAAAAAGCAAGTGAACCTGTGAAAGTAATGGAAATTACTTTCCATTTATGAGCAGCTTATGTTTAAGGTGTTGTTCAACAATTGTTTATGTTCTCACCCAATTTCTAAAGTCTCAGTTCACACCTATGAGACCTGCAACTGAACATGCAAGAAATGACCTCTGACTCATCTACAGTATCTGTAAGCCATGCATCTTTTTGCACAGGCACAGACCACGCAGTCAGGCTCTGGGGTTCCTGTGTCTCTGGGAGTCCTCAACCCAATCCCAAGTATATCCTACCCTTGAGCTATGGGGCCAGGGCTCTATCCCTAGAGGTCTGGATTGTAGAGTTTGACCTGCACTCAGGCAAAAATCTTTATCGGCTGAGGTGCTCGAGAGCCCTGCTGTATGCTTCAAAATTTGGGGCGTAGCAACATTTAATTTGTAACAAAATGTAAAAAGACTTTAACACAGGACCCGATCAAATTGAAAGGGAATCAGCAACTTGTTTACCGCTTGGTTAGAGTGGGGATTGGCCATCTCTGAAATCAAGTCCTCTGCAAGGCAGGACAGCTGGTTTACTATATGGCTGAAACTGAAACTTTATGAGAGACTTGACAAGTCTTCAACACACAAACAAATTCACTGGAACATTTTCTAACAAAGAGACAAAATAATCACATGTGCACAAAAATCATCAAGTTACAGATTAGTGATTGGCCACTGAGAGACAGTATATTCATTCTGACTCCTGACAACAAGATTCTTAATTTCTGTGTTATTTCACTGTGTCGTTACACAGACACGTATCTTCTCATCACTTTGAAGAGGAATGCAGTGACAAGAATACAAGGAGAATACAAGGAGCTCCTGCTACCTAATAACCCTTCTAAACTTGGGCTGCGTCAGGGAAGATTCTTCTGTGACAGCAGAAACAAGAGAGTTTAGCACAAAGAGCCAAAACAGACATCAGAGTGGTTTTTAGTCCAGCAGAAGCAGGCCTTTACTGCTTGAAGTATTGGGGAGTATTGGCAGCTCGAGTTAGCTGTACTTTCTGAACTCCAGGGTGCATCTGAGGACACATGACTAGGGCTTTACGAACTTCACAGGGAAATTAGCATGACCCAACTTTCCAGGAGCTCAGTACTAATCCAGCTGCTCAGATTGAACTGATCTAAAGAGCAATTAAACAGTGCAGCGCATTGCAGGCCAATTGTAAAACCTGTTCTAATAAGGAGGAAACAATTAGAACTATGGTGTCAGGTTCAAGGAAAAATGAACTCACTCAGAAAGACAAAAAGCTGTGTAATGTACAGTAAATATTTCCTATAATCCTGTGACATCTGTCACTTTTTAATATCCCCTTAAAAAAGGAAGCTACAGTAGATATTTTACTAGAAAACAGGATGAACAGGGGAATTACCTTTATGACAACACATGACCCTGAACATCTTTTTTCTACAATGACTCCTTTTTTTATTAGAAAGTCAAGGTAAACTAACTGTTGCATACAGTATATCAATACCCATCAACAAGTACCTAGACTACAGAGCGTTGTCATAGCACTGATATCACTGCTATGAATAAGAAAATTGATTACTGCTCAAAGAGTGGCAACCTAAGCGGGGATGGTCATGCAGTTCACGATGGGCTGCTCCTGCTGGGGGTGATGCAGGACAGGATGAGCCCAGCTGTGCTGGAGTTTGACT